AATTTAAAACAAAAAAGAATTTTTCCTATGTTAATTAAATGGGAAACTAAAATAAAAATAGCGACCCCTTAGATTTGAGCTATAGGGCTCATGTTTGGCGAGGATTTCTTTTACATCAAATAGAAACATTTGAAGGGGTAAGAGTTTAAATTAAATTAAATTAAAAATTTTGTTTGAAGCACCCTACTGTGCATATAACTGAAATTGTTTGTCTTATCAAAATAACTACCCCATTTTAATCTCATATGCTTATTTGTATGCTATTACCTAATACGAAATACAGCCCTAAAAAAATGTTTTTGAAATGTTTGAACTGATTTTAAAGGTACTTACAGGACATAAAGAGATAATCTCCAGGAGTAATCCGGACTACTTTTTAGTTTATTTGTCTGCCGAAAATCAGATATTTATAAAAAAAAAAAATGTGACCCTTATAAAACAAAAGGTATAAAGGCCAATCAAAAAGTTCATTTGAAATACGCATTAATGAACATAATAAGAATTCTTATCTTATCAATCTATACCATTAGCGAGATTAACAAAATAACAACTGTTGTATAGTTGATGCTATTTTATTTAACTAAAATTCAAATGAATCTGTGACTTGTTTGGTCAGTGATCTTTTTGCTGACTAATCGGGGGTTACAAAGGCGTAAGTAGTGATATATTTTTTTCCTGTGTGACGTACTAACTGTACCTGCATGTTAGGCATTCTCAAACGGGCCATTTTAGTCGTTACATTAAGTAACAAGGGGTTGAAACCTGTCCCAGAATGGTGGGAAATTTGTAGTCTTTTATCAAAAAAACGTTAAAGATTTGAAACTGGTTCACTGCTCCATTGTGGTTTCTGGTTATCACCAATAAAAGCGGTAAAAACGGATATTATAATGATATTTAAAAACGATTTTTAACTTGTTCTGGAGTCTTAAAGGCGACATCACTGTACCTAACAGTGTTTTAAAACGACTAAAAAAGCGACTTATGGTCGCCAGGACTTTGTCAAGGAAAATCTTCGTCTATTAATTAGCACAAATAATGTTTGTAATCTATTATGAGAACTATTACTATCCTTACTTTGTCAATTAATTATATTATTTCATGATCAAATTTAGACGTAATAATACATAGAAGTAAGGCTTTTGTTAAATAATAATATACATATGCTGCCTGTCGCATGCGTGGTTTATCATGACACTCAGTTTTAATTGAACTCTATAAACAGGCGTTTATCAGCCAATTATATTATTTCATGACCATATATAGGCATGATAATACATAGAAATCAGTCTTACCAATGTTAAATAAATTTCATTTACTACTAACATACTAGCCTGTCGTATACGCGGTTTGCTATGCCATTAGGTTTTAATGCTACATTAAAAATAATGGTTTGTCTACAAAGTTTAATGAATTTTTAATCATATCAATTAATAAACATATCAGACACAGTGCTATTAATTGATATGNTTTTCTTTTGGGTTTTGAGAGAACAGCACTTCTACACCTACTGAAATTAAGTTTCGATTATAATAGGTACTCATCTTAATCGAAATTATCAATACTTATATTAAAGATACAGTTTCATTCTGATATTTAAAATAAATGTAATACATCTATCTCGTACTGTTGACTAAAGAAATAACTTTAAAAGTTTTACTAGTGGTAGAATTTGGTATTATTTTTTTTTAGATTGTCTTAATTGCCTATTTTAAATAGCATGCACCCTAGTTAACTATTGACACTAATAAGAGCGGTAGTAATAGCAGCGGCACCTGTCTTAAAGAAGTCCGTTATACGCTAGTATTTGAGGCCCAAAACCCGAAAAATTTCTCATCTATTTACCTGTTCAAATAACAGTTCTTGTAAACTCTTTCTTTCATAATGAGTAGCAGGTGGAAGACTGAATTTTAAATTATAGGTGGTTAGTTATAATTCCTTTTTACTCATCAGTATATTCGATGAATATTTCAGTATGACTGTATTAAATTGTACGTAATAATACAAAAATATTCCTACAGGATAATAGTCCCTTTTCCATTTCAGAAGCAATTAGATATTAGTATACAAATAATTTAAATTTTGGGTAAACATTCTGAAAAGTTGTTCCTGAATTTTTAAATTTTCTACAGAATTATTTTTAAATTAAGGTCTCATTACTTCCTTATTTTTCAATTGAATCTGTTTTAGCTCCTTAAACTTTTTTTTCTTTAGTTGATTCTATAAGTATTAATCCTCAAATTTAAATATCAACTGCTAGGTTCTAGTCCTTTACTAGGTACTTAAATTTTGTTTTCAGTTAATTAAAAAAAAATTCAAAAATATGTTCTAGCATTTCTTAAATTCTTAGAAAACGATAAGAAGCAGTAAAAATTTAGACACTTACATTGAAAATAATTTCCACAAACAAGAACAACATTCACTCGTGTTCATAAAACTTCACGAAAACCGCAATCACGTTCCACAAAAATTCGGCAAAAATCGAAAAAGTTGTTCCAAAATTCTCTGTTCGTCATCGCATTTACCATGAGCAAGTGCTAGGCCAAGTCTGACCGTACACGGGGATACCTTTGATACCTACCTGGTGTAAGGATACACCTCTACCTTGACGGGCTATTGTTATGTACACCCCTCGCACGCCACTACCAAAGCTCAACCTAGGCCTTGAAAGCACATGATTAACTGACTGGTGATTACGAAATCGCCAACTGATCAGGAATAAGATCTGGCTTTACGAGACCTTTAAAAATAAATTAAAACACCCACTTCAAAAGAAAAAAATAAGGAGAGGCTAATGGATTGTTATGGTGTCAAAAAGGACACCTATGGTATCACTTATCCTGTATTCTTTTAAGGAAGTTTTCAGTATCTATACTCAGAATTGATAAAGAAGAAAATATTCTATTAAATACTATTAATTTTGTCGCCTTTAACAAAAATAAGTCAGTTCTATGCTCGCGAACGGTTAATTTATAAATTCGAAAAAGGTTGTTGAAGGTTTATATTTGGAGCGCGGCGCTGTACGGGTGCGAAATATGGACGGTGGGCGCACCGGAAAAGAAAAGGTTAGAAGCTTTCGATGTGTGATGTTACAGGCGAATGATACTGTGGATAGAGAAAGTTAGAGATGAAGAGGTATTAGAAAGAATAGGAGAAAAGAGGACTCTGTGGAAGTCAATAAAAAATTAGCGAGATAGGTTGACAGGATACCTTCTAAGGCATGAAGGGTTAGAGGCAGAAACAGGAGTTAGGAGGGGTAGAGGTAGACTTATATTAGATTACTGTTAGCAAATAGTTAAGGATGTGGGATGTTCTACTTTTAAGGAAATGCGAAGATTAGCTCAGGATAGTAAAAAAGGGGGTACGTGTCCAACCAATCTTAGGATAATTAGGTAGGACCTTGTAATTATGTGATAATAATTGATTTTGCCTATCAAATTGAGTCTCATTGAGAATTAATTTTACACAAATCATGCAAATATAAAAATACAAATGTTACAATATCAAAAACTGTCTTTATTATACAGTCATGTCAAGCCTTGATTTCGTTCAACTCTATTAGTTACTCGGAACTTTCAGAGTTTTCGGAAATTATCTCGTAAAACGCATCGCATCGCCGCAACCATTAATCTTGATTACCGCAGATCGAGGAAATCTTAGTTTGAACAATTAGGAATGCCAGTATAAATAGTTATATTTGGGTGAAGTTACCAGTCATTCTCTACCCCTAGGGGACGTTCTCTCTTATGTACCTAACCGACGCAACGTATACGTACTACATAAACTTATGACGTCACATTATTTGAAGGAAGTTCACCCGGAAATTCAAACTTCTTGAGAAAAAGTCGTTACAACTGAAGCGAGAACAAAATCCTAAAAGCAAAAGAATGAGCGGTTTTATCCATTTCCAATAGAAATGACGGATTATACGTATGTATAAACAAACATCTGTTGGGACGTCTTATGCCACAGAACACCACAAGTATTTTCATCTGAAAAATAACCACTTATATTAGTACGTACATTCTCGCCAAACATTGATATCGCCATCGAATAAAAATGTCTAATTTTTATTTGTTTTTTGTGTTAAATATTCTAAGAACGCGTCTCAACTTTATGGGTACAATTATTTTCAGTTCATTTTATACAATATATGTATTTATATTTACATTGTACATACAGTGACGTCTCGACATTCCAATTTTTGTATTCTATTTTTCATATCCGTAAAAATGAAAGATTCCCTAGTGCCATTTGTGTGCTCTAAAGTTAGTATTAAAAGGTTATGTAAATTGAAACTCAATTTTACCACCCACAGACTCGATGTACGTCACGATTTATTCGTTTACTTACGTAATAAAAATAGGGTAGAACTTGCGACCTACTTGACTGAAATAGGAATACCATCGAACAAGTAAAAGATCTGCGACCGTAATAAAAGAACATAATAAATATTCGTTAATTGTTTGTTATTAATTGTGTTAAACGCTGGAAGAAATTGAACTCGCTAAATTGTAGATAAATTCAACAAACATATTTATTTTGAAATGAGATATAAAATTTCTAGGAAATTTGGATAGTTTGTATACTAACCAGTCAGTTTACACATCATTTAATAGCGTGCACGCTCCAAGAAACTTACACAAATCAAATATTTAATATCTGTTGACAAACTAGCCAAAGGGGATGAATATCATGTGTCCTATTTTGCGGATGGTTTTNACGAAGAATTTCTAAACTCTTGTTTTTATGATTTATTTGTACCTAAGTTTAGCCTCATATTTTGGATAGTTTAAAAAACCAATGGACAAATTTGAATGGAATGATCATTACAATACTTAATAGACTCGGAAATTTACATTTTGTGCTGTAATATTACGTGATAAGCGAACATGAAATAGCAAGAAAGATGGGAATGAAGAAACCCAGACCGGGACGAAATCGAACAATTTTAAAACTTATTTTTCTACGGCTAAAAATACATAACCCAATTACGCAACTTTCTGTGTGTACCACCCCAGTTTACTTCGTACAATAGGATGTCTGTACCACTTGAAGAAGTGAGCTGCAAAAATCTTTTACCTCCAAACAACCGTCGCAACTTGGATGGAAATTTAAAGGTGCTATAGTAGAATGAGCCATCCCCTCGGTTTCCTCACACACGTACACATTACAAGCGACGAATCAAAGAAATAATAGAAAGAAGGGTCAGCGCGCGTTACTGCATTTCCTTATGGCTCCGCGAAGTGCTTTAAAGAGATTGCAGCAAAAAATGAACCTACATGCGTCGGTATGTAACCGGGTATATCATCTTGTACCGGTTGCTCATCCCGGAAAGTACGATTAAAATCAGTAATGAGTTTCTAAAGGTAAAGGGTTCAACTGTGCAGAGGAAAAAAGGTCACCTGCTGGGACTGTAATTTCGAACTGTGCGAAAATGTTGAAACTGTCATAACATAAATACGAACCCACAAATTAGTTTAAACTGTGATAGTTAGAAATTACTTTAATTAGAATAGCATAAGTGCTACGTATCACAATCAAGTGATACATACCACAAACAAGTGTATTGCATCACAAACCTACACTTTATTATACAAATGAATGTTCCAAAACCAGAGACAAGGTTTTAAACAACACTTAAGTAAACTTTGGTAACAACTTGGACAATCAAGTGCTACAAGCCACAAACAAGTGCCACAATGAAGTGCTTTATACCAGAGACAAAGTTTTAAACCGCACTTAAATAAACTTTGGTAACAACTTGAAAAGTTACTAGTCAGTGCTACATATGCATTATGCACCACAATTAAGTGCTAAATGCCACAAACAAGTGCCACAATTAAGTGCTTTATACCAGAGACAAGGTTTTAAACCGCACTTAAGTAAACTTTGGTAACAACTTGGAAAGTTACTTGTCAGCGCCACATATGCATTATGCACCACAATCAAGTGCTACATACCACAAACAAGTGCCACAATTAAGTGCTTTATACCAGAGACAAGGTTTTAAACTGCACTTAAGTAAAGTTTGGTAACAACTTGGAAAGTTACTAATCAGCGCCACATATGGATTATGCACCACAATCTAGTGCTAAATTCCACAAACAAGTGCCACAATTAAGTGCTTTATACCAGAGACAAGGTTTTAAACCGCACTTAAGTAAAGTTTGGTAACAACTTGGAAAGTTACTAATCAGCGCCACATATGGATTATGCACCACAATCAAGTGCTATATACGACAAACAAGTGCCACAATTAAGTGCTTTATACCTGAGACAAGGTTTTAAACCGCACTTAAGTAAAGTTTGGTAACAACTTGGAAAGTTACTAATCAGCGCCACATATGGATTATGCACCACAATCAAGTGCTATATACGACAAACAAGTGCCACAATTAAGTGCTTTATACCTGAGACAAGGTTTTAAACCGCACTTAAGTAAAGTTTGGTAACAACTTGGAAAGTTACT